TTTAGAACGTTCATGTATCTAGTAGTTCAATTCATAATCATTTAATGATCATAGTCTTAAATATTAAGAAAGAAATAGGTAATTAAAAGTTAAAATCCTGTACAACAACAGACACATAGACTAATGGAATAGAACTGAGAACCCAGAGGTAAATCCATCCAGCTATGGATAAACTGATTTTTGAAAAAGGGCCAAAATCTATTAAATGAGAAAAGATTGTCTCTAACAAATGATGCTGGAAAAACTGGATACCCCTTTTAAGAAATGAAACAGGATCCATGCCTCATACTATACACAAAAACTAACTCCAAGTGGATCAAAGATTTAAATGTTAAGCCTAAAACTATAAAATTTCTGGAAAACAACACAGGGACAAAGTTAGCAGTCCTTATTTATGGCATAAATACACTATCAAAGATAACAAAAAATGCAGAAACAACAGAATAAAAACTAGATAACTGGGATCTCTTAAAAATTAAATACCTATGCTCATTAAAAGACTTTGCCAAAGAGTAAAAAGAGAACATACAGACTGGGGGGAAAAACTTGACAATAACATGTCTGACATGAGTCTAATCTCTTAAGTATATAGAAAACTTCAACATCTCAACAAAAGCCTCATCAACATCTCAATAATCTCAACAATCCAATAAAAAAAATCTGGCAAAGGATATGAACAGACACTTCACTAGAGAAGACATTCAGGCAGCTGGCAAACACATGAAGAGATGCTCACAATAATTAACCATTAGAGAAATATAAATCAAAACTACTATGAGATACTATCTCATACTAGTATTTACAAATAATAGATGTATTTACAAATACATTCCTACTGCAAAAAACGAACTGATCAAAAAACAGAAAACAACAAATGCTGGCAAAGTTTTGGGGAAATTGGAACTCTGCAAGTGGGATTGTAAAACAGTGCAACCACTATGGAAAATGTTATGGTGCTTCCTCAAAAAGCTAGAAATAGAAATACCATATGATCGAGCAACCCCACTCCTAGTTACATATCCTAGAGAAATAACAGCAGTGACACAGATAAACATATGCCCATCCATGTTCATTGCAGCATTATTCACAATAGCAAAAAGATGGAAACAATGTCAGTGTCCCTCAATGGACGAATGGATAAACAAAATGTGCTATACACATACAAGTCTGAAGTCTTCAATATAAACTAATTAATAGTAGACATGTCATACAGATTGAAACTATTAAAAATTTAAAAGAAACTTGTCCATTACCTTCTTAATTGTATGCAAGAGAAGGCTACTTATGAAAGTTAAGTACTCTAATATTCATTTCTGATTTTTTATGTTAATCTTGAAGAATAATGCATCTGTGAAACATCTTATAACATGGATGAATCTGGAAGACATTATGCTAAGTGAAAAAAAGTCAATCACAAAAAGACAAATATTGTATGATATCACTTTTATAAAAAGTAAAGAATAGTTTTATACACAGAAAGCAATGTCTTTTGATGGTTTCCCAGAATGGGAGGGGGAAGGAGGAAGAATCATTTTCTAGATCCTAGACACATGCTGGGAGCTCTGGTAGTGTAATGCCTAAGGCACTTGATTGCTAACCAGAAGGCTGGCAGCTCAAATCCACCAGCCACTCCTCAGAAGGAAGGTTGGGCAATCTACTTCCGTAGTGATACTGCCTTGGAAACCCAAGGAGGGGTCGCTATGAGTCGGATCCGACTCGATGGCACATAAAAACAATATCAACAACAGACACATGCTGGAGTTGTGGTGGCATAGGGCCTAAGGCATTTGACTGCTAACCAGAAGGCTGGTGGTTCAAACCCACCAGCCACTCCTTGGAAGGAGTGGGCAACCTACTTCCATAGTGATACTGCCTCAAAAAACCCAAGGAAGGGTTGCTATGAGTGGTGATGGGAAAGGTAATGCACAGTATGGGTGAAGTCAACACAATGTGATTATGGTAAATGAAGACACCGAGAGCTTTATAAGAATAAAGAACATCTACAGTATATGCTAATGTATACCATTGTGCAACAACAGTAATAACAACCCAAAATTTGTGAGTGGTTGTAGATATGTATTCTATGTAAGTGTGGAAGGTCATATAGGCGTACACGTGTACACATATACAGGTATAGTTGTATATATATGTTGTTGTTGTTGCTATGTGCTTTGGAGTTAGACCTGACTCACAGTGATCCCTCCTTGGGTTTCTGAGGCAGTATCACTACGGAAGTAGATTGCCCAACCTTCCTTCCAAGAAGAGGCTGGTGGGTTTGAACTGCTAGCTAACAGAGCACTTAGGGAGCAGAGTTATGGAAACTTCTTAGACATATCCAAACACCTCATGAGACCGAGTTACTGGACTTGAAGACTAAGAACTATAGTCCCAGAAGACATCTAGATCAATTGGCATAATGCAGTTCCTAAAGATAATATTCTACATCCTGTACTGGTGAGTGGCATCTGGAATCTTAAAACTTTGCAACTGGCCGTCTAAGATACAACTACTGGTTTCCACACATCTGGGGCAAAAGAGAATGAAGGAAACCAAAGACTCAAGGAAGCAATTAGTCCACAGGATTAACAGCCCACACGGACGAAAGCCTCCTCTAGCCTGAGACCGGAAGAACTACATGGTGCCTGACTGTCAATACCGGATTTCCCTGATCAGGGACCAAACAGAAGGTCTCAGTTAAAATGGGAGAAAATGTAGAACAAAACTCAAAATTCATTAAAAAAAAAAGAAGACCAGACTTATTGCAGACTTATTGGATTGATAGAGACTGGAGGAACCTCAAATACTATTATCCTAAAACACCCTTTTAACCTGGAACTCAAGCCACTCCAAGACATCATCTTTCAACCAGATAATAGATGAGCCTATAAAATAAACATTACTATGCGTGAGGAATGTGCTCCTGGGAACAATCAACCATAAGAGACTGAAAGGGCAAGGAAAACTGGAGAGATGGAAACAGAGAAGACAAGGTAGAAACAGGGAAAGTACTGACACATTGCTGGTATTAGCAACCAATGTCACAGAACTGGCTGGTGCATGAATTATTGAATGGGAAAACAATCTGCTGTGTAAACTTTTACCTAGTACACAATAAAATGTTTAAAAAAGTAAAAATGAAAAGTTAAAACCCTACTTGCATTTAGCTATATAATAATAATAATAATAATCCCAGGAATATTGTAATAAGGGCTCAGCTTAGGAACGAGCATTGTGCGAGTTAATGTAAGTAATGAACCTTTCATGTGAAATGATGTAGTGTCACAACTCATTTGCATCCCACTTAAAGTGTAATTAAGTTTCCTGACAGCATGGCTTATGGCTGAAAGAACAGACCTGGCTGCTAAATTAATCCAGTCCCTCAGTTAATAACACTCAAGCAAGGAAAACTTTACATACTTTCATTTAAAGTTCCCAAACTCCCATTTACAGAAGTGTATTACAAGGCGGCCCTACAGAGGAACTTTTGTATAAAATTGTTGGCCTCCAGACAGATTCAATCATCAAAACACCTGAAACTGGACTTTGATGAATCAAAACATAAGAATATACTATTTTCTCTCCAGCTAGGGATGCTGGTGGTCTGAAAGGGGTGATACTCCACATTTAAATTTCACTACATCATATATTTAAACCACAATATGATCTCAAACTTAAACCTGAAGTTGTTAATTTTAAGATTTATAACATAGCTAGTTTTCCACAATAAGTGAAAAGAAGTAATAGGTTTTTCTTAATTACTCATTCTGTCAGAACTTGAGTACTTCAAACAAGTTTTCCAGTGAAGTTAATTCTCCTGGAACTTTTTTTGTTGACTTATTGTTACATTTGCTTGTTTGTTTGTTTTATAAGATATTTACTTTTTGCATCCCCAAAGCTGATTATGATGTTGCTACAGTAGTAGAGATACACTGTGTCATTTAGAATCAGTTTTTTTCCAAATAAGAATTCAATTTATAAATAATCTAAACAATTTTTCAGAGAAGCAGTCCAGAGAACAACAAACTTCTCAGAATCAGGTCCTACTTCTTTAACCAGGCAACATGAGAGTCTTTGCCAAACAATTATCTGAGACTACTTCTTGGTGTTACTATCCTCTACTTCTCTTTCTAGCTACCCAATTCAAAGGCAGATGTGAGAAAAAGTATTTTGCACCTGCTCTTTATTCTAGATCAGGTCTTAGCACTACACAATGTATCACTGGCATTTTCACAGAAACATCGCAGGATCTTTCCTAATTCTGTCTTTAAACTGATGGTCTCAAAAATGACAATTTTTGCCACCGTGAATAAAGTGGTTCCTCAGAGGGTCAGATAAAGTGTTGGTAACTGGAGAAAGAAGACTAGTATCCCTCTAGCATACTAAACATTCCTGAATTATACAAGTGTCCCACCTGATAATGCATCATCACTTCCTCCAGTCCCCTAAGTCAACATTTTACAGGATTCTCTTAGGATAAGTTAGCAATTATTCTGACAGATGACTTGCATACCAACCCTAACCAAGAAAGGTGACATATTTAGAAATCAGATAATATATTAAAGTGTAACACTAAATAGAAGCTATAATATTTATTATCTCCATATATTTGCATAGCACTGAAATGTCCCTAGGGAAAATTTTGCAGCTGCTCATTTTTCTAGATCAGGTTTTAGCACTACACAATGTATCACTGGCATTTTCACAGAAATATCACAGGATCTTTCCTAATTTTTCAAAGAACAATTTCAGAGCACAGAAAACTTGCCAGGAAGGATGAGTCGATGGGAAAGAAGCATCCTCAAAATTATTTTCTTTTGTCATTTACTGAAAGAATCATTATGAAGTAAAACATAAAGAATAAAAATCATGCTCAATTAAATGATTTATTTTCAGCATGCTAGAATATTTATAGTGGTAGTGGATTAAGGTTTTACTTCAGCTAGTCAACCAAGGCCATAAAGTTGTTGTCCATGGGGTTCTATTTGTTAAGTCCCTTAATCTTAGTTGTCAGAAGGTAAAATCTCACAGCAATGCTCCTTCCATAGCTTTGAATCTGGTTGCTCCCAGTCATCTCCCATAATCCACTTCAGACTGAAAGTTTTAAAATACTCAAGACGATGGCTTAAGGAAAAATTGGAAAAAAAAAATAAAATTTAAAGTATTCTGTGCAAGTCTAATTTTTATATATTTATTAACTATAAGGGAAATCTAAAAAGATAATAAACAAACCACATATGTGCTTTAATTATGCATTAATATAGTGTCTATGTTAAATTATTTTTAAATAACTTATATATACAGACTGCCATGATATTCACTGAAGAGTAAGAAACCATTCTTTCTACCCTAATTAGTGTGTTGTTGTTGTCCTGTTGTTAGCTGCCATCAAGTTGATTCCAACTCATGGTGACCCCATGGGTGCAGAATAGAACTGCTCCATAGAGTTTTCAAGACTGTGACCTTTTGAAAGAATACCACCAGGCATGTCTTCTCAGGCACCTCTGGGAGAGTTTGAAATCCCAACCTTCTGGCTAGTAGGCAAGAGCTTAATTTAACCATTTACGCCACCCAGCTCCTATGTATGCTGTCAAATCAACTCCAACTCAGCAACTCTATAGGACAAAGCAGAACTGCCCTAGAGCATTTCCCAGGCTGAAACCCTTATGCAAACAGATTGCCAGATCTTTTCTCTGGCTAAGCAGCTGGTGGGTTCAAACTGCCAACCTTTCAGTTAACAGCCAATTTAACCATTGTACCACCAGGTCCTTAATATATACATATAATTCTAATCACACCTAAAAAGTTTATATGAACACTTCATTGAATTCACATTTTAAGACACATCAGGATAGTCTAAGTCAAAGCTCACCATTTTATAATAAAGTTATCCTCTCATGTCCTATCTGATGATTTCTGTAAGCCCCTAATTACTATGAAACACATTGACTGAATTCAAACAGCAATGCTGTATACTAATTAAGTATTTGCATTCACACAGCATAATTGTAAGATGAGATTTACTTACAGATTATCAAAGCCTATAAGCAGTCGCTACTAGCAGCAATGTTACTACTACTCTTCCATAGGATCAATAGGAATCATGAAGTTCTGTGCCAATAACTTGGTGACTCTGAACACCAAAAACATTCTAACAATAGAACAGCCTGAATGAAGTTAATTCAAACTGACTGTCATTTGAAGATTAATTTCCAATTGACTTGGAATTGATTCAAACAATTGTTTGAGTTGTTAATATATAACACCATAAAAAGTAATTCAAACTGTAAATAATTCAACTGTACTGTACATAGTGCCCACAAAAACTATATATGCGTGTATACTATATATACTCATATATTTAAAAGGTATGTGAAATTTTAAAACACTATTTATTGTAGTAAATAATGAATTCTTAAATATCCTCCCCCAAATAGTGTAGTATCTGAAATGAACCGATACCAAAAACCTAAATATTTATAAAATGTAATATATAAGGGATCCTTCAAAAGGTATATTATGACTATCTTACATTTAGACTTTTGGTTTGGGTTATGAAAAGCTGTGGAAGTAATGTAAATATATAAATAAGGTTACTTAATGGATTTAACATTCCATTTTTAAAAGTTTAAATAATCTACAATAGTTCTTTGGCATATTCAGTTAATATTGGTCATAAAACATAAACAAAAAAAATAGAATGCATTTCTTAAAATTTTCATTTATTTATGAATAGTCACTTATTCCTATTACCAGAAACACATTTTTTAAAAAAGATTAAGAAACAAGAAGTTTCCAAATTTTCTTGGTTAAAGCACTTATTTCCCTCTGACAGTCTAGTGTAGCTGAAACCTGAAAGTAAATATGTTATCAAATTATTTTTGCATACTCACAAATCAGGCTCTTGTCCAACTTCAATTTCTTCAGATGGTATTGGATAAAGGGCTTCATAAATTCTTTTAATTCCAGATCCATGAATTGCATATGAATTCATCTTGTCAACACCAGGTGGAAAATATTCCCAAGGAATAAGTGCATTTCCAATCCACTTCTTCCCAATAATGTTGGCTTCAAATTGTAAATCCAGTTCTTTCTTTTATAGTTAGGAAGAAATAATCAAAATAGAATAATTTAATACTGGCAGATTCAATACATTTGACAAATAGAACCAAGGTTGAATTTAAACAAAAATTATAGCATTGCTTTGGACAGCAAGCTAGTCAATTATAGCTCCTAGGTGGAAGATCCATTAGCAATGCCATTGAGAAATCACTCCCATCATTGTTTTATTGTTTATAAAAAGTTTAAAGTCATTATGCTCCAGTATAAGACATATAAAAGATGAGATCCAATTTATACAAATGGTTAATTTTTAAAGTGGTAATAATGGCATTACTGACCTGAGCATTGATTCATCATATGTGGAGCTCCAAGGAAAAGCAATTGGACTACTTTGTTTGCTCACCAGCCCTAACCTTCTGTTGTTGTTAATATCCATGCTGATCTCTAGCAGTTAAACCCAGATTCCAGAGATCTGTTAAGTCTACACATTAGCCCAAGGAACCTAACTTCCAATTCATGGAGACAATGTGTAATGTATGCTCACAGCTACTAAGTCAACCATTTTATTCTTTCTCATGCTTTCAGATGCTGATCACTTTTTATCAGTTTTGTATATTTTTCAGTAAATATTCTTTTGCTGATATCAATTTTTACCTTTTTTAAACTGTTCCTCTGTTTCCCTATATTTTTTAATATGATCTTTTAACAGAAATAAGGCATAAAAAGAGGAATATTTGGAAACCAACCATATCCCAAACAGAGAATACTGGATTCCTTTTTTATTCAGATTATCTTCCCTTAGGCTTTCTTCTCTGGTACCCAAAGCAGATCCCATCAACCCTAATGAAGAACCTAATATTAACTGAAGTCAGCCAGATTCATTGACAACCAATTCTAAAAATTACCCATTTGGAAAATGGAGGTGATCGAGAGCCAAATTACCTTATCATTTCATCCAACTCCATTCCCTAAGAGATCAAGATAACTTAATTAAGAAACTGTTCAGGGAACTGCCACAACAATGTTGTCAACAGGCCAATTTACAATTTCTATATAGAGACCTATAAAATAAAATCTATGATCTCTGGCAAACACAATTTTCTGATAAGAGCCATTTTTTCCTAATAATCTATTCTGCATCTAAAGAAGAAAATATGAGGAATTTTCTCCAGGGAAGTTTTCTCACTCTGCTGTAACTCCACAGATCTGCCAGTAGTTGAGTCTCCTTTTAGAATTTTTTAAAAAACAAAGCATTTTTTAAAATACAGGATACTTCATCCAATACCAATCATTGGAATCCTATCTATTGTCCTGCTGCAAAGAAAAACTTGAATAAATTACCAATCTCCTTTCAAAGCAGGAATTCAGAAAGAGTTCTCCATTATGGCTACAATTTCCCAATTGATTTTAAGGTGATAAGAACATCATGAGAACCAAAGATCAATTATTCAGGATGTCATTTTCCCACAAAAGGGTTTTTGCAAAAGGATTCTCTTCATAAAGATCAAAGCCTATGAAATACACACAACAAGTGTCAGTGTCTAAACAGAGCATTGTTGTTCTTCTCATTCTTCTTGCTTCTGAATCAAGGAATTTACACTGATTCCTGACTTCAGTATGCTCTGAGTTGCATGCAACAAGAATTTTTTGAGTACCTGCCATGTGTCTAGGCATATGCAGTCAGTAAAACAAAGCCCTTTCCTTCATGGAGCTTATATTTCTAGTTATAGTCATAGAAGAGAATATTTAGGATTAATGTTTTGAATTCCTTTACCCATTTACCAGGGGAATGAAAGGATACCACAAGAACAATGCTCAATAAATGCTCACTAAATTATAAAAAGTTTAAAAGTTGAATATATTTCATTGGAGTGAAAGCTCCTGGAGAATGTTGTTGTTGTTAGGTGCCATCAAGTCGGTTCTGACTCCTAAGGCCAAAATACTGCCCAGTCCTGTTCCATCCTCACAATCATTGCTATGTTTGAGTCCATTATTGAAGCCATTGTGTCAATCAATGTCATTGAGCGTCTTCCTCATTTTTGCTGACCCTCAATTTTACCAAGTATGATATCATTCTCCAGGGACTGGTCCTTTCTGGCAACATGACCAAAGTATGAGAGGTGAAGTTTCATCATCCTCACTTCTAAAGAACATTCCAGCTGTACATTTTTCAAGACAGATATGTTCATTCTTCTAGCAGTCCATGGTATATTCAATATCCTTCACCAACACTGTAACTCAAATACATCAATCTTTCTTCTATCATCCTTAGTCATTGTTCAGCTTCACATGCATAGGAGGCAATCGAAAACACCACAGCTTGAGTCGAGCACACCTTAACTTTCAAAGTGGCATCTTTGCTCTTTACCACTTTCAAGAGGTCCTTTGCAGTTGATTTGCTTAATGTAATATGTCATTTGATTTCTTGACTGCTGTTTCCATGGTCATTAATTGTGGATTCAAATAAAATTAAATTCTTGACAACTTCCATCTTTTCTCCATTTATCATGATGTTAATTATTTATCTAATTGTGAGGATTTTCATTTTCTTATATTAGGTGTAATCCATACTGAAGGTTGTAGTCTTTGATCTTCGTCAGTAAGTGCTTCCAGTTCTCTTCACTTCCAGCAAGCAGAGTTGTGTTGTCTGTATCTCACAGATTGTTAATGAGTCTTCATCCAATCCTGATGCCGCGTTCTTCACATAGTCCAGCTTCTTGATTATTTACTCAACATACATATTGAATAATTGTGGTGAAAGGATGCAAACCTGATGCACACTTTTCCTGATTTTAAACTATGCAGTATCCCTTTGTTCTGTTCAAATGACTACCTCTTGGTCTATACACATGTTCCTCATGAGCACAATTAAGTGTTATGGAATTCCCATTCTTTGCAATGTTATCAATAATTTGCTATGATCCACACAGTCAAATGCTTTTGCATAGTCAATAAAACACAGATAAGCATCTTTCTGGTCTTCTTTACTTTCAGCCAAAATCCATCTGATATCAGCAATAATATCCCTTGCTCCATGCCCTCTTCTGAATCCAGCTAGAATTTCTGGCAATTCTCTGTCAATGAACTGCTGCAACCTTTTTTTTAATTATCTTCAGCAAAACTTTACTTGCATCTGGTATTAATAATACTGTTCCATAATTTCTGCATTCTGTTGGATCACATTTCTTTGGAATGGGTACAAATATGGATCTCTTACAGTTGATTGGCAGGTAGCAATCTTCCAAATGTCTCGGCATAGATGAGTGAGCAGTTCCAGAGTTGCACCCATTTGTTGAAACATTTCAATTGGTGTTTTGTCCATTTCTAGACCTTTGTTTTTCACCAAGTGCCTTCGGTGCAGCTTGGACTTCTTTCAGTAGTATCAGTGCCTGATTATATAGTACCTCATGAAATTGTTGAACATCGACCATTCCTTTTTGCTACAGTGACTTGTGTATTTTTTCCATCTTCTTTTGATGCTTTCTGCATTGTTGAGTATTTTACCCATAGAATCCTTCAATACTGCAACTTGAAGCTTGAATATTTTCTTCAGTTCTTTCAGCTTCAGAAATGTTGAATATATTCTTCCCATTGGTTGTCTAAGTCCAAGTCTTTTCACATTTCATTGTAATGCTTTACTTTCTTTTTGGACACTACATTTTGAAAGCTTCTGTTCAGCTCTTTTACTTCATCATTTCTTCCATTTGCTTTAATTTCTCTCTACTAAAAGGCAAGTTTCTGAGTCTCTTCTGAAATAATTCTTTATTAGAGAACTGAGACCATATATTATTTAACTTTGCATCATCTCCCCCTAAGACAGTGCCTGACACATAACAAGTACTCAATAGATATTTGATAAATGAATGAATGAATGTGGAATCCAGCTACCATTACAGAACATTTTGATCAAGGATTCTATACAAGAATCCTTGATCAAAAGGGTAGAAATGAAGAACAGAATTTCAAATTCTCATGAAATCCAGACTTACTGAATCCATGGAAGCTGAATGAACCCTTGAAACGATTGCCCTTAGATAATATTTAAAGAAAAATATTTAACCAAAAATATTCCCTGAAGTCTTCTAAAAACCAACAATAGTTCAGCTTAACTAGTAAAGAATTCTGCCTTCACCATTGTGCTCTTTTAAGATCTATCTGTATGAGATCAAACTGACATCAACAGTGCAGAAGATTACATAGGAAACTTAGAGGGCAGTGCGTTTGTGTTAATGGGGAAGGAACAATTCAGAAAAGGAAGGTGAGAATGATTGTACAACTTGAAGAATGTAATCAATATCATTAAATTGTACAGGTTAAAATTGTAGAATTGGTGTATGTTATGGTGTGTACATTCTCAGCTACAACAATAAAAATAAAATAAATTTTAAAAAGAATGAATGAATGAATTCATTTCTGCCTAATAAATACATTTCAATAACTAATTTTGTTTTCATTCATTAAACTGATGTTTCTCTGGTAACCTGCACCTTTCCATAGCAATTTGTTTGCTACTCAAGCACACATTGACTGAACATGCAATCAGGATGCGTTAATTATCACTGGTGACTGGAATGCAAAAGTTGGAAACAAAGAAGAATCACTGGTAGTTGGAAAATTTGGCCTTGGTGACAAAATAATGCTGGAACTCGCATGGTAGAATTTTGCAAGACCAACGACTTGTTCATTGCAAACACCTTTTATCAACAACACAAACGGTGGCTCTACACGTGGACTTCACCAGATGGAACACACAGGAATCAGATTGACTACATCTGTGGCAAGAGGCGGTGGAAAATCTCAATATCTTCAGCCAAAACCAGGTCAGGAGCTGATTGTGGAACAGACCACCAACTGCTCGTATACAAGTTCAACTTGAAGTTGAAGACAATTAAAATAAGTCCAAGAGAGCCAAAATATGATCTTGAATATATCCCTTCTGAATTTAGAGATCATCTAAAGAATAGATTTGATGCAATGAACACCAATGACTGAAAACCAGAAGAATTGTGGGAAGATATCAAGAACATTTCC